TAAAGACGTCTTACGATTCATCAAATGAACACTGTCCTAATATAGGGAACAGGCGTATTTTCACAACAGAACAGGAGAATATGCTTGCAGATTATTTAAAGACCGCATCTAAAATGTGCCATGGCCTAACAAGACATCAAGCAAAGAAGCTAGGATTTGATTATGCTGTAGCCAATGATATCTGTCCACCCAAATGGAAAGAAGTTGAAACTGCGACTGATGATTGGCTCAAAGGGTTTATGAGCAGACACAAAGACTTAACTGTGAGAAAACCTGAAAGCACTTCTCTATCCCGTGCAACAAGTTTTAATAAAGCTAATGTAAGCACATTTTTTGAGAAATTGAACACTGTTTTACAAAGATACAAATTTCCTCCTCATAGGATTTTTAACGCCGATGAAACAGGCTGCAGCACCGTCACCAATTATCCTAAGGTCATAGCTGAAAGGGGTTCGAAACAAATTGGGCAAGTTACCTCAGCCGAACGAGGAACATTGGTGACAACTCTGTTCTTTATTAATGCTGCTGGTGGTTTTTTGCCGCCCGTTTTTGTGTTTCCTAGAGTAAACTATAAAGATATTATGTTAAATGATGGTCCGCCAGGAGCCCTAGGATTGGCTCAAGTTTCTGGATGGATGACTGAAGACTGTGTTGTGAAAGCGTTAGAATACTTTGTAATACATGTCAGGCCATCAAAAGAGAATCCAGCATTGATATTAATGAATAATCACACCTCTCATGTAAATCTCAGAGTGGTTGAATTTGCCAGACAAAACTCCATCATAATAGTTACATTCCCACCACACTGCAGTCATAAACTGCAACCACTAGATATCACAGTATATGGGCCTTTCAAAACTAGGTACCGCACTGCCATGAATGAATGGATATTGACGAACCCTGGAAAAACAGTTACTATTTATCAAATTGGGCAATTTGGAAAAGAAGCATATTTGTCAGCTTTCAGTCCACAGAATATAACACAAGGATTTTTGAAAACAGGAATTTATCCATTAAATTCTAATATATTTAGTGAAGAAGCATTTTTATCTTCATATGTGACTGATAGACTTGATCCGCAGTCAAACGATGGTTTGAACTTGTATAAGGAAAGTATGGAAAGAAACTTAGAAACAACACCTCCATCTTCTACAAAATCGCTTGAAGCTGGCGAAGAAAACGAGCTTCTAATAGATCAGAATATCAGACTCTCTCACCGTTCAACCTCCACCCCCACGGCTGCAAATCCGAGTCAACGAATTATATCACCGGAGATGATAAGACCATTTTCTAAAGCGGGGCCAAGACAAAACACGAAACGAAATAATAGAAAAATGTCATCTGCTATCGTAACCGACTCTCCCGAAAGGGAAAAAATAGAGGAGAAAGAGTATAGTGCTAAGAAACCAAAAGTTACTGTTAAGAAAATGACTACAAAAGAATCCATAAAAACGCTTAAAACAAAATCAGAAATAAATAAAGAAAATTCCGTTCTGCAAGGTGACTCTGATTCGTCTGACTCTATCGTATTGGCTGAATTAAAAACAAAGGGTGTTCGAAGCGAAATAAACCCAAAGACAAATAACAATAGTGATGATTGTGTAGTTTGCAGCAAAACATATAAAGACAGTGATCAAGATTGGTTTCAGTACAAAATTTGTTCTGGTTGGGCTCATGAATGCTGTGGTATTAAGGGGAACCTTAATTTCTTTTGCAAGACATGTTTCTAATTTGAAGAGTACGCATTATATTCTGTTCTGATAGATTTAACGATTTTGTTAAAAAAATAATCCGCCTCTAATATGTTAAGTTTATATTTATTATAAAATATCATTAGTTTTTAAAAAGAATTTGTTAGAATTGTCTTTTCATTTGTTTTTTAATAGTGTATACTTATTAGTTTGTATAATTTTCACAATTTCAAGTTATAATACAAGCTGGCCCTTTCATTACTTTTAGTGGCTCTTTCAATACCGAAATGGTATGAAAGAGCCAAATGACACATTTTTAAAAAACGTATATTTCATTGGTTTTGTATACCGTATTTTAGATTTTTTTGTATAAAATATATACTTTAATAAATAAATAATAGTTTGACTAAAAAAATAATCATTTCATTCATTAAAAGTATATTTTTTGGCAACGTCTATAAAACTGGCTCTTTCATGCCACTACTCCTCTACTTATATTTCCAAAGTCGTAAGCGAATTGTGAACGCAGCCTAAATACACCTAGGATCGACAGAGCTTCAAGTTAAAAGGGAGCCAGAGAGCTTCAGAGTATAGTTCACTTCACCAGTACCGGAACGTGATAATGGATCTTTCCATTATTTTAGATATTAGTAGTTTAAAATGTTGATAAGTATGTCCATATAGTATAATCGTACATGAAGGTCGGTTTCATACAAAAATTATATAAATCCTAGTGTCTATCTCACCTTATGGTAGATGACTTTTTTTGCAAATCGTCAAACACAAAATATGATCGCGTTTAAAAGTTGTGCAATTAGTTAGGAAGTTGAAGATATACTTACTTCATCTAGGCAATAACACAACGTGATACGTGACATTAGATATTAATATAATATATTCCTCTTTGTTGTCAGAGTTTTATCCAATTTAGAATATTGAAAAGGAAAGTAGATCAGTTAGGATGATTCTAGATCAAAACTTTTAAATATAGGTACTCAAAGTGTATTTGAAGCTACAGTTTTTAGCAATTCGGCGGACAGGCAACGCGCTTAGCAGAAACGAAGTGAAAATATGCTTTTATGACGAGCGGTCGAGTGGTAGGACAGAGACTATATCAGCATAATGGAATCCAGCGGATCTACAGTGAAGGTTAACTGTATTTGGAATCGCAAAATAGGAAACCGTAAACATCTTACAACAGAACTTGTTACATCCCATTTTCATCTTATGAACGATATATTCAAATTGAAACATAAAGCTGAAGAACAACCAAAATGAACAATTACAACTAACTCCTTCGCGCATCGTTAAATATCTGGGAGTGTACCTAGATTCTACCCTTAAATGGGACACACACATACATTTCGTAATTAAAAAATTGCGTACAATACGTTAAAAATTTAAATATCTTATGAAATACTATGACTTCTATCAAATGAAAGTACTCTATTATTCACTAGTTGAGAGCCATTTGAGGTTTAGTGTGATCGCGTGGGGAGCAGCGAGTAAGACACACGTGAAAAATCTTGAGACAATACAAAGGTACATTCTAAAGGTAATACATAATAAGCCAAGAACATACCCAAAAGAACAATTATATACCGAAATTGCAGTACATGATATTAGACAAATCTACGTTATCCAGACCATCATGAAGCAGCACCGACTAAAACATAAGTTACGCCAGACTGAGCATTACTATAATACCCGCCATAAAGTGTGAGCATGTTTACCAAAGCCTCATGTGAATGTCATGCAGAGATCATTCCAATACCTAGGAGGGAAGCTTTATAATAGTTTGCCTATTATCTTAAAACAGTATAATTCTATGCAGTTTAAAAAACAACGAAAAAAGTGGATTAATGAAATACCTCGCCTCCACATGCATCAGCTAATTCTTTCAAATATATACATATATAAAAACGATTAAAACCTTTTTTTTAAACTGTCAAGGAATTTTCTTTCAAATGCTCCTAATATATACATGAGGTTAAGCATATCCAAGCATGCAGTAGCTAAAGCAACTGAACTTCCAAATATGACATTCTCTGATTGGTCGCACACCCGATTATGACTACTGTACCTATAATGACAATTATACACTATATTGGATAGACATCTCTCCACGCACAGGCTTTGCCTTCTGTGGGTATTTCATATTTATTTGTATGTTTTTTATTTTACCTGTAACAAATGTAATTGATATGGAAGCAAATAAATTATTATTATTATCTGAGCAAATGAAATAAACAGATGCATTCTTTGCGAAACGATGTAATTGGCTTCATTTGGATGACATGCAAAGGTTACAAAATTACTTCGTACGTCAACGATGGAAGTTTTAGCCTTAGCGTTTAATTGTTCACAGAGACGACCCCATTCTGTGTGCCTGCGTGCGAGCTCGCACGAGCACAAATCTATCACCTCTTAATTATGTGGTTATGACTTTAGTGCATTGGGTTGCTTCTAGGATGCTTGCGTCGCTGCGCGTATCGTCTCGATATCAAGCAAGAGCGTAACGCACTTTTATTGTATTCTTTAAGCAATCTATTGCATGGTGTGCTAGAATACGTGATAAATCTTTTAAACGGAACTTTCTATATAAAGACCTAGGAGATACAGGTCTAGAGAGATGCCGCTGAATCTAGGGTGTTTTTAAATAAACGATACTGTATAATTCAGCGCATTTTTGATAGCTGAAATGTCAATCAGCGCTTCGTATGATGAAATCAAAAGGAAACAATTTACGCGTATATGGATTTTAGGGATGAAGAAGCTCTAAAGAAGTATTTTCAATGTTTTTTGGCTGGAAGAATGTACTTTTGTTTGACAAGCAACGTTTTTTCATATGAAGGGTCCTGCTTCACCAACAACGACACAGAAAACTGAGTTTTACACCTCACACGGTCTTGAAAGACCATAAAGTGGGGCACTGTTTGTTTATTATTTATTTAGGAATGTGTCAAATTATCTTCTCATGTTCTGCATGAATCTAGTTATCTCTTTAACCCGCTACATCTTTGTAGCAAGATTTAGTTATAACTATGGCAACTATAGCTAATCCTTCATGATCTTCCTGCAGCATATGTCTGATCTATACCAGCTGCATCCTGACTAAATTTGTTGCTTTGAATCTCAAGTAAGTGTATTTGAGACAAGAACCCAATGGAATTATCATCAACATATATTTATTAGCACACAAATCCTCACGAGCTCACAACGTGTCCGTCAGCTAGTGCTAAGTTAACATCTTGTAGAAAAAAATACATAGTGTCACAATAAACCAATATTGTTGTCTAGGATGGTGAGCCGTTAGTCGATCAATACTACTTGCAGTAATAAATATATATTCCAACAATCTTAAGTAACAAACAAATATAACGTCTTATTGCGCTGCGTTGAATCGGTTGAAAGCATTGGCGTCTTGGCGTCGTGTCATCTTCCCCCAGCCACCGTCGATCTGCCGGTCAGCAGCGACAGACATAGAGTGGGACTGCACGGCCATCCTGACGTCACGTTCGTCCCGAACGTCTGAAAATATTAAGTTATTTAGGAAACACCTATACCTATTGCCATCAACACCATTTGCTATCGAGGACGACCATTCGTCATCGAGAGCAAAACTTGCCATTGAGGGCGTAACAGTTGCCATCGAGAGCGGAACAGATGCCATTGAGGGCGTAACATTTGCCATTGAGAGCAGAACAATGCCATTGAGGGCGTAACATTTGCCATTGAGAGCAGAACAGATGCCATTGAGGGCGTAACATTTGCCATTGAGAGCAGAACAGATGCCATTGAGGGCGTAACATTTGCCATTGAGAGCAGAACAGATGCCATTGAGGGCGTAACATTTGCCATTGAGAGCAGAACAGATGCCATTGAGGGCGTAACATTTGCCATTGAGAGCAGAACAGATGCCATTGAGGGCGTAACATTTGCCATTGAGAGCAGAACAGATGCCATTGAGGGCGTAACATTTGCCATTGAGAGCAGAACAGATGCCATTGAGGGCGTAACATTTGCCATTGAGAGCAGAACAGATGCCATTGAGGGCGTAACATTTGAGTAGTTCATTACTCACCTTATTGATTTTGAACTTTGAAGGGTTTCATGTGTTCCATACCTACCACAGCTTGATATGGTCGTCTTGACCTCTGTGTGAAACGATCTTCTTGCACTCTATACCTGTCATTGGGTAGAACCTCAACTATCTTGAATGGTCCTCTAAACTTAGGACGTAACTTTTTACTGTCTTCATTCGCTGAAAAGCTGGTTACTTTAGTTAATACCACATCTCCCACCTGGTACAACCTAGGTAGAGAACGTTTAGTGTTAAATTTTAAATCTTGTTCGATTCTATTGTTTTCCAGACGTTTGGCTGTCTCTTTTCGGATTTTTGTAACATCTAGAGTTGTTTCCATATCGTCATCAGGGTATTTGTCACTATCAGTCCGTAGTTGGAAACCAAACATTACTTCTGCGGGCGTGTTTTGTGTAATACGGTGTCTAGTACTATTCAGTCCTTGTTGTATATGTGAAAGATTAGTATCCCAATTGTCTTCACTTGTTTGCGAACCAGATGTTGCTAAAGCGTCTAGAACTGTTCTGTTCGTCCGCTCACATTGACCATTGCCTCTTGGGAGACCAACAGCTGTTGTAAATAACCGTATCCCTCTTGCAGCAACAAATTCCTCGAAGGCCTTTGAAGTAAACGCAGATCCAAGATCCGTGATGAGTCGTCTTGAGTTACCGAGCATCGCGAACATTTCAGTTAACATTTGAATTACGTATTTTGCAGATGTATCAGGAACTGCTTTTAAATACACAAATTTCGAAAAGCCATCAACAACAACTATTAAATACTTGTTTCCCTGTTTTGTGTTCACAAAAGGTCCTAAATGATCTATATGTAGTGTGTGGTGTGAACTTCTGTCCAAGACCACCGACTTCCTTTCTTTAATAGCTTCGTCAATGGGGCGGTAATTCGCGCAAAATCTTTTAAGAACTTCCGAAAATAGCCGACGAGACCCAAGAACTGTCTCAGTTAATGTTGTGTCTTAGGACAAGGAAATTGTTCCACCGCTTCAATTTTCAGGTTGGATGGTGATATTTGATTGTATGAGATTTGATATCCTAGATAAACTATCTTCTCTGTAAGAAAAGAACACTTTTCGATTTTTATTACAATACCATACTCCTGTACAATTTTCAGTACCTTAGGCAATAAATCTAACCCCTCCTCTATAGTCTTTGACGGTATTAAGATGTCGTCCAAATAAGGAACCACATTAAATTTTCTTAAAGGCATAAGGATTTCATTCATAAATTTCTGAAATACCAATGGGGCATTACAAAGCCCAAACGGCATACGAACGTACTCAAAATGCCCTTCAGGTGTTATGAACGCTGTATACTTCATTGAAGCAGGCTCCATCGGTATTTGATGGTAACCTGATGCTAGGTCAAGCGAGGTAAAATACTTGTAATCACTCAAATTATCAATAATTTCTTCGATTAATGGCATTGGAAAATTATTTTTAACAGTTATTTTGTTTAGCGCCCTGTAATCGACAACTAGTCGTTTGTCATTAGTTCCTTTATTGACCAGAAGAGCAGGACTGGCATATGGTGAATTACTTTCACGTATGATTTTAGCCTCCAAAAGTTCCTGTACCTTACCTCTCATGATTTGTTTTTCTATCTCTGCTAATCGATAGGTCTTATGAGTGACTGGTTTGTCATTGACCAACTCTATTTTTAATGAAACAGAGTGTGCCTTCCCCAAATTATTCAAATTCAAAAATATACAACCTTGATATTGAATTAGAATATCCTGCAGAGTCTTATTATCTTGTTCCGACAACACCCCTGTTTTGACATTTTGCAACCACTGTGGCTTTTTGTCCTTTATTTTGAATATCAACTTGTCATCTATACGATAATACATAATAGTATTATTTTCTGTGAAATTTCTCCCAACAAGAACATCATTGTCTACACTTTCATTAGAAACCACATAAAATTTTGTATTAAGTTTCACCTGATCAATTTGGGTCATTACCTCAACAAATTGCGTAACAACAGTCCCTATACCCATAAATCCTGACAATGTTACCTTCTCCCCAAGAGGTTTCAACGTTAACCCTAGTTCCTGCACTATTGCCAATTTTATTAGAGAACAATCACTACCAAAATCCACAAAAGCTTCTATTAAATTCCCATCAAGAAATATTTTTTTGAAAAATTTTGAAGCACTATTCTGACTTTTAATTAATTTGACCTGTTCAATTTTTTGTTTTACTTTTGAAGACTTAGTTGAATTATCCCATCTGCCTGGTTCACTTGAGTTCTTTCGTTTCTTGAAACAATTCACCTCAATATGCCCCTTAATTCTGCAAAAATTGCATATCTTATTTCTATGTTTACAATCATTCCGCTCGTGACCTCTGTTGCCACATGTGGTGCAATTTACATTTTGATGTATCGTACTTGACCGGACTATATTGTCAGATGCTCCCAATCGACCACTTTGATTGATTGACTGTTGCACCTCTGATTTTAACGGTTTGCCCCTACCAGTATAAGTTTTGTTCTTCAGATATGCCGCCAAAATATGAGGATTTCGAATATTTGCTGCCTCCACAGCTGATGTTATATTAACGTCATTTATAGCACCTATAATTAATGATACCTTGTCACAATCTGAAAATCCTACTCGTAACTTATTTATTCTCGCTATGTGTTCAAAACAAAAATCATATAACGAACAACCTTCGCTGGGTCTATGATTTACCATTTCCATCAACAGTTGATAAGCATTACGTGTACTCTGGAATGTATTTTTCAATATATCCTCCCACTGGCCCCAAGCATAACTAGACCACCCCAAGTCACCCTGAATGAAACTGTCATACCAGGTTTTGGCTGTACCCTTGAGTTTATTCAAAGCATGACACTTAATAAGGCTATCAGGCCACTTGTAAATATCTGCATTATATTTGATAACCTCTAACCACTCTGATATGTCATTAATTTTCGGATCAAATTCTGGAATTACCATCGAAATATGTATTCCCTGATCGGCCCTCGTAAAAGTAGAATAATGTTCGCTACTCACGGTTTCCCTTGACTTACACCTGGATCTCTTATGTTTATGCCCATTACTATTGCTAGAACTGCCGGAAGAACTACTGGTTGTTGAAGACGAGGAAGGTTCTCTTCTACTTCGTTTTCTGGATTTCCTTTGCTTTTGCTTTGGCATCTTGTCCAATCTCTGAGCAAACAACAGCCTGCAGAATATTTGCTAAAATTGGGAACCACCGTAAAACACACACTTCTGATGTTGTCTAGGATGGTGAGCCGTTAGTCGATCAATACTACTTGCAGTAATAAATATATATTCCAACAATCTTAAGTAACAAACAAATATAACGTCTTATTGCGCTGCGTTGAATCGGTTGAAAGCATTGGCGTCTTGGCGTCGTGTCATCTTCCCCCAGCCACCGTCGATCTGCCGGTCAGCAGCGACAGACATAGAGTGGGACTGCAATATAATGTCAAACAAAATCTACCAAATGTCACTTTTCAAGATACCTAATACCGTGCGGGATTTTTGAAGGTTTTGTCCAGTGTCGGTAGATGAGGTGATGACAGGCCTACTTATACATGTATATCAGTCGATTCTGTCGAAGGACATAAAATTATGTTATCTCAGTATCCACGACTTTTGACAATTTGTCAGGGGGCACCAAGAAGTTGGTTAAGTATCTGCTATTTTTCTTGCCTTGCCCTCAATAGCGGCGTCAAGAACAATGATCTACAGTTGCTTCACAGATATAACTAGTAACTTTTCACGATAATTAGACACGCCGATCGTTGAATCTTTGATACAATACTAACAGAGATGACTTGCTCGTCTTTCGACCTGTTCACCATAAGTTATCTCTGTTTATCCTGTTGTACAGTCCAAAGTACGTATTAGTGTTTTAGCTACCATGAGAGTTGTTAGCCCAAGTACTCAGCACTACCACCCGGTATGGACTGTAACATGTACACGCGAACGATATTCAGGCTAACGTTCCACATACATTGTTAGACACGAATTCTAAGCGAGCCGATTATACACCTACGCTGTTGGATATTCTGCCACCCTGATACCATACACACTACTCACACATACAGCACAGATTTTCATCTCTATGCATGCGTTTATGCGATTGTGGATAAATATACTAAATGACATATAAATTCGGACACCCAGTTTAAATGGTTTTATTTTAATAAAATTTTGTATAAGTACTTAATGAAGCATAATAAGTAAAAGATAAAAATTTCAAAATGATTGCACTGCTTTAAAGCCCTTTGATCTCTAATAATGTGTGGATGCTTCCCGATGTGCTACGCATTCTCCAACGCGCCTAGGCATGCTTGTGATCAGGTGGTCAATGTCCTCCTGTGGTATCTCATTCCAGGCAACCACCAAGTCCTCTCGAAGTGCTTCTAGAGTCTGAGGAGGACGTTGCAAATTG